CAGCACAGTCTTTGTGACCAGGGTAGAACAGTTTTGTTGTGATTCACAGACTAGTGTAGGGTCATATGGAGCAACTCAGGCAGCTTCCCAACTTAGTTTCAAGCTGATTGCAAAGTTCCATGAAGCCAACTCTCATGTGAATCAGTAGGAAGTGGATAGAAGGCCCAATGCAAAGTCCAAGAGAGGATTGCAGTGAGTGCTATGGAAAGAATGAATTGCCCTGTTCTCCCTCTCTTGCTTTTCTTGAATGCTCCAGCAGGTTTTCTTTTTTTCCCCTTAAAATACAGTCTAATCTCAGTGTTTTCTTTTGACATTCTCCTTCACGTAGACTCATGGGTAGTGTGGAAGGCTTGATGAATTCCAAAAACACAAAGGTTGTACTTAAGACTTCTATAGAATAAGGCATCAGTGCAAAAAGCATTCTGAAAGCCAGCTGAAATCAGAATCATAGTCTGAAACTCTGTATTCACTTAATCTAGTTGTCATGATTCCTCTGCTTTCATGCAGTCATAAGCACATAGTCTGTTTATGGGAGCAGTCTCTCCTGCCAATCTTGGTATGGATCTTCTCTGCTTCTCATCCTATTAAAGTAGTAAACCTTCACCACCGCATTGCCACACATTTCTCTCTAGTTATATAATAGTAGAAAAGCAAAGCATTGGCACTCATTTAACAAAGATGTGCTGGTGGGATTGCAACTCTGCAATTCTCACTCAAAGGCCACGTTGGCCAGGAATTTCGGGAATTGCAGTCCCAACACTTTGGGAGAATGCCCAGTTTTGCTTAACCTAAAGTTTACCCCCAGATCTGCAGAGAAAGACAGACTTTCACTGAACATGTTATAGAGTGTTTGTGTCGGGCATCAAATGTCTCTGTGGTCTCTGATGGAATATGTGGGGAATCTCAGATGCACAAAAAGAGAGTGATGGGGTATGTTTCAGAAATTGCTTTGAGTTCAGCAGACAGAAATGCTGTGCAGAAATGCTGCGTGGCTCTTCAAAGTACCCCGCTATGAATGCAGCTGAAAACTACATAGGATCTTAGAGATCAGTAGAATCAGTTAAAACATATTCTGATATAATAGGGATGAATAACATCTACAACTCCCTGGCATCTATAAAACCTCAAAATTAAATATACTTTTTGAATTAAAGTAAAATGGCTAAAATCTTACAAGCTTTCCAAATCTCATGATAGTTCATGTTCTCACTTGAAAATGTGGGGATGAGATTACCAAAATCTTACATGATTTAAATCACAGAGAGAGAGAGAGAGATTTGTACAATACAGACTCCCACCCCCCAGCCTCCTCCCACCGCACAGCAATCATGTGATTTTGTTGCACGGCTGTCAAAAAGATTGTTAAGTCCCTGTTGTATAAGGAGCAGCCAGATCTAAATAAGTTCAATTTGAAGCAAATACTGGAATGTAAGAAGTTTTTCCTATTATACAGCAATTCTTCTCCCCACCCATTTAATGTAACCTATATGAATTTTCCATGGATGACTTGAATGTGTACATGGATGATTTGTGTGTACTGGTGTACACTTCTTCTAGCATTAATGTTGCCCAATTAGGAACTAGAATGGAAATTAAAGTTCTCAGCTTTCCAGATCAATTTAGGGTTTGTTCCTTTCAATTGGTTGTTAGGGCTGGGAGAGGAAGAAGTCCCCAAAGCCTACATGGGATTTCTTGCCCAGTATCTCTGGAGTACAACATAAATCCACAGTGTGAAGATAATGGTGAGAAAGTAGACTTGCTAAATTCTAATCTGTGAAAGAGTATAATGTTCCCAGATGGGCACCACATTGTTGAGCTGGGCAGGGAGAAAAAAAGTGACATGCATAGCATAGACTTGATAGGCTGCACTGATTCCAGACAGTGGTCTTGGCTGTCTTTGCTCAGGGTAGGTTAAAGTGCCCCCTCTGCCTTAGTTCCAGCAACTGAAAGTTGTAAGAAAGGCTCCTGCATCCCAAAAAGGAGAACCAGAGCCATGAATGGGTGAGACATAGAGAGGCCACTCCTGTGTTTCTGAAGAAGAAAGACATTCTGTTGCATCATAAACAAACCTTGACACCCTTAAGAAGCCCTCTGAAAGATGTGGCAGATGTGTTCATTGAGCAACATTGTTTCTTTCTTAGTCTCTTAGCTACTGGAAATAAAATAGAATTGCTAGGAGACACCCCCTCCCCCCTAAAAAAAGCCTCACTGGAAGCCAAAAAAGAGAGAGGGCACCAAAACTTTGTAAAAGTACACATCATTAAAGAGAAATTTGGCTACCTCTTTACATCTCTCTTTCCTTTTTCCTCTCTTGTATATAAAAAGCATGGCTTCCATTACATTTAATAGTCTCCTTTTAACTTGGTCCTTGGCACTAGACTCTAGCATGGCCACAGCCAAGGGATTAATGAGCAGGGCTGATTCCCAGTAGACCTGGAACTGAAACTGGCCCGAACAAAGATAACACAGATCAAGGAGGGAATACGAGCTCTTGGCAGCACCGTGCCAAGCATGATGTGCCTCTTGTTAACACGGCCAGAGCTGGCAGCTGCACAGAACTGCTTTAGCTTCAGGGTCTGAGAATGGAAAAGTAGTATATTCTCCTCTAGAAATTTTGGCTATATCTCACAACCAGGAGGTCACAACTTGGAGTATGTGTACTGTAAAGGCTTACAGTATGAGAGTAAGCATTGCTGTACTTACTTCAGACTTGATTTAATGAAATAAAGTTTTGAGTTTGGCAATACGACCCACTCTTACACTTCCAGAGGGGGGTCAGGAATGGAAGTGTGTGTATGTGTGGGCCTGAGTGCATCTACCTTTTATAACAATTGCATCTATGACGACAATATAATGCCTGCACAACTCTGTACATTCAGTGGGGCATTTTAGTTTTTAAGTCAAATTTACCTTGAGAGCAGAACACCTCTCCCTGTCACACACCTTTGTACTGTGTGTGTCACAAGCCATTTTTGAAAGTCAGGAGTCTTGGCATTTTGATGATAGATTTAACCAGTTGAGAGGGACTTCAGAATTCATTTAGTTTAACTCCCACCTCAGTGAAGGGGATATATATAAGTAAAACAACCCTGTCAGATGGCCATTTTAAGCTTTTGTTTAAAAACCACTAGGAAAGGAAGGCAGTCCGTTAAACTGTTGAGTACTTCCTCACTATTAGTAAGTTTCTTAATATTTAGCCAAAATCTGCTTCTTTTTAAATTCCCATTATTCTTAGTACTGCCCTCAGGAACAGTATGGTAGTGTAGTATATGTCTGCTGTAATTTCAGCTATTTAAAAGCTCTTCTCGTGTTTCCCTTAATTTTCTGTTCTCTAGGCTAAACATATCTCCCTCTTTCAGCCTTTCTTTATATGTCATTTCTTGTTGGATAATATCTGGGTGTACTTTTAGAATCTCTATAATCTATAGCCATAGAGTTCTAGGCTATTTGTGCAGGGGATTTTTAGTTTGGGGGGCGGGATTCTGTGGTCATTAATGACTCCGAAGTTGCTTTCTAGGGGTGTACAGAAATGTTTCAAATTAGAAATGCTCCATTGTTTTGAGTTCAAAGTGGCTTGTTCCAACCATCCAAGAACTCAAAATACTTCCAAAACGGACAGAATAATCTATCTTGAACTTGAAACAGGATGATTTAATTTGAAATATTATGCATGCCCTCTACTGCTTTCTAATTCATTATCTAATACATCTCAGATACTTCTGATAGATTCCCCTACTTCCATTTTTAAAGGACAAGTTAATACTGCTCATGGTTACAGAGGATCTATCTATCTATCTATCTATCTATCTATCTATCTATCTATCTATCTATCTATCTATTTATTTATTTGGTAGTATGCTGTCTCAGATTCTAAATCAACAAGAGATCCCATTTGGGTTTCTTGTGGACAGAAAGGGGAAAGACTTGTCACTCTCATTTTTGTTTTGTTTTTTGTTTTTTGTTTTTATGGTTTTATAGTTTATTATTTTATACTTAGTAGTTTTATTGTTATGAGCCACCCAGAGTTGTGTTTAGGATGGGCAGTCATACAAATATTTTAAATAAATAAATAAATTCTCACCACTATGTATGACTGAGCCCCGTCTTCTGATTTTCAATTAGAGTAGAGGATAAGCTGCACGCTTTTTAGAAAGGCTTCAGAAGCCCTAATTCCATCAAGAGATAGATCCTTGATTGCTTATATGGTTTGAGTTTCTGGATAGGTGGAATTCTGGAACTGGATCACTCTTGCCTCTGGCAGTTATCATCATTGGATCTATAAACTGGACACATCCATTGCCAGCTTGGCCTTTCATTTTCCTTGGATTATTCCCATGCTGTGTATACAAATTGCATTTGAAGTACTCAAGATTTTTCAAATGCAAATTGCCATGTAGTATGGAGAGTTGTTATTCAAGAAACAGTGCCAAGTCCCATCCAAGCCCAGAATTAACATAGTCCTTTGAATTGTGGGCAGCTACTTTCTAAAACTGATAAGAATCCTGGAAAATTTAAGAAAAGATCCCTTATTCAGAAGGGTATGTATGTGTTTATTTTTCTTTCTGTGCTTTGCAGGAATTTGTAGAACTCTGCATAAAATCAACAGTAGTTTTTCTCTTTTAACAAGCTAAACATCGTCTTTTGCTGTTGTTTCCCCAGAGGCAACATCAAGGTCATTCCCACTGCTCCAAGATGCCCTGCAGGACCAAGCAAATTTGAATGATTGGGACCTCAGACAAGGCCACTGCCTGACTCTGAAAGAAAGTTTATCCAAACAGATGGGGAAAATGTTTAAAACAAATATGTTTACAGGACACCATGCCTTGCCAGGATCTTACTCAGCACGACAGCTTGCATCAAGGATTCCACAAGCTCAGCTCAGTAGCAATTGCTTTCTCCAAAAGAGTTTGAGCTCCAGCTTGAATGAAAAGTGCCTTTGGACAGGAACTCCTCTCTCCAAGCAGGTTTCCCGTGTGACTGGAGACATTCATTCTGGGATGATAAGCCAAGCAGAGAAGGGTTGGAGATCTCTTTCTACTGCCAAATTTCTTGGTGCCTCTGATTGTTTAACCCACATTGACCGAGAAGGCCGGGCATCAATGGTAGATGTTGGAGGGAAGCCAGACTCCAAAAGGATTGCAGTGGCTAGTGCCATAGTCCTTCTGGGTACAAAGGCATTTGATTTGGTGCAGCAGAACCAAATAAAAAAAGGTGATGTGCTGGCCGTGGCCCAGATAGCTGGAATCCAGGGAGCCAAGCTAACAAGCCAGCTCATTCCCCTGTGCCATAACGTCCCACTGAATCTGGTTGAGGTTGCTCTTAGTCTGGATGCAGAAAAACATGCTGTTGTCATTCGGGCTCTTTGCCACACCCATGGAAAAACTGGGGTGGAGATGGAAGCTTTGATGGCTGCCAGTCTTGCTGCTTTGACAGTGTATGATATGTGCAAAGCAGTAAGCCATGACATAATCATTGAAGATGTAAAACTCCTCAGCAAGCAAGGAGGCCAAAGGGGTGACTTTAAGCGAGACTGATTCCAAACTAAAAGTTTTTAATCATGAGATCAACGTACATTATCTCCTGGATACAGCTTTAGTGGCATCATCTTCAGTATTAGGAACCAGGATTCTGACCATTAACCTTGCTAAATCATAACCTGACTTGTTTGTCTTGTTTTGGCTGTATAACATAGCTCAAGTCTACTTGTTGGCCTGCCTTTTTCCATATAGCAACTGTCCTTTTTGCCTCTCACACTGCTTCGATTTGCAGTAGTTGCTAAAGGTACTTGTGGTTAGCACTTTATTCTGATTTTGTACAAGTTTATGATTTTCAGTGTTCACGGTATTCCATCTCCTTTCAACGGCACTAAAATATTCACACAGCAGGATTTCAATATGAATCTCCTGTTTAAGAATATTCAGATCCAGAATTCTCAGATGAATTATGAGTTACCATATGGTATCCTAACACTGGAAAATATAAACTGTGAGTCACCTTGATCACTCCCAACTTAGATCAAAGATGATTTTGAATAGTGAGAATAATTTCAATTTGTCTTTAAAAATGAAAGGTAAATGTTTGTTGGTTGGAAGTAGCTGCAAACTATATACTGTCAAAAGTATAGATTCCCAATAGTGCTAAGCACAATTCCTTGCACAATTAACCTTGTCTTCTGGCAGCAAATTTATGTCTTTTTTTTTTTTTTGGCTTTGAGTCAGACTTGACTCCTGATGAGTACAGGGACTAATCCATGCAGTTTTGTAGGCAACATATTTGGAAGTGGTTCACCATTGCTTTCTTCCTAGGGCTGGCGGTTGTTTAATTTTCTTCTAATCTTCTAGTCTTCCAGATTCTTTCATCAAAATTATTTTTCAAAGCTCATAGACTTCTTTCTCTTCTCTAAGG